CACTGAAAGGACAAAGCTTGAATACAGCTAGGAGCTTGTGCTGTAGTCAGGGAAGCAAAGATTGTTGATAAGAAGCAGCTCTGGTGTTCTTTCTACATCTACACAGAAAGTGCAGAGCCACAATCAAGCAACTGGATGATACTATTTCTGGATATTTCCCAATTCTGCCTCACTGTTCTCTGTGATAGTAATCCCTTTGCTGTGCATAGTGAGTTATTGCTTGGTTCACACATACAAACACAGGCACAGTTTAGTGAATTATCACTTGTGAAATTCTGTCTACAGGGTGTCTATTGTGTCTTCTGTGGAAGTGCAGAATTTAGCTTATTTCAGTGCTATTTCCGTCTGTGTTGTGTCGCTGACAGAGATGGGAGGGGAAGGAATGGATGACTAAAGCTTAGCTTATTTCTGAATAGACTTTCGCACTAAGCTTTAGCCTGCTGGATGATTGTATGTGAATAGAATACAAAGTACAAGGAGAGAGGACTACTTTTCCAAAATCGACAAGAGGATGATTTTTTTGTTGTTGTGTGTGTTCAGCATTTACCGGTTTATTTTTGAAATTGCAAAAGCCGTAAATGTATCCACATGTCTGTAGATGTTCACACACGCACACACACACATGCATACGCACACACCCTCTGCATTAAGAGTGGCCATTTGGTCTCTCCACTGTAATAATGTTATTAAAGTTATTAAATAATATCCTGTGGTCCTTGGCTAGCTCATATGCAATAACACAGGGAGGGGCTCTGTCTCCCTCTGATCCACCAATAATTAATAGTGTATGCACTTAGAAGGTGTTTGCCAAAAGAAATGAGAACTGTTCATATATTACACTGTGTGGTCAGTGAGGAGAAAGGCTGGCAAGTGAGACTGCAGAAAAGAAGAGGAGATGGTGCAAATGCAAGCAACCCTACTTTAATTTGGAATCATGCAGGCTGCAGGCTTGTGGGTTGTGACTCCAAAGCCTATTCCCATTTCTCTAGCCGTGATCCATTTCTAGAGGCCATACAGTACACCTGCATTTCAAAAGACCAGACACAAGCTCGGTTTGTAAATATAAACTTACACGATGCAGCTCCAGATACTGGTCTTTACAACTGTCTGTCATTAGATGACTACCTTTTCAGGTATGGTAATTCTTGCATCAAAGCTGACTGTCTATCATGAGGGCAATGTGAGGATAATAGTATACTGTTCACCGACTCATATTATCACTTCATTATGTGACAGCCCTCCCTGTCTGCAGGCTCTGGAGGGCGGAGTCTGGTCACCTGTTCTGGCTCACTGCCTGGCTATAGAAGCTGGAGAAACTCAGACCCCCCTGACTTCGAGTCTTTTCTGGTTTTGCTGCATTGCACAGCACATCTCTCACTCCTGCACCTCGGGCACCACCCATAAGTTCACTGCTTTCAGTTTCGTTAGATGTTTAATATATGATGCATTTGGGTCAAGCTATACCTTTAAAATCATGTGTGATGTGTCCCCTCTTTGTCCCTCCTTAAGCCAGGTTGTGACAATGGCCATTCAAACACAGGCTTAAGACCCCTGAGCTGGAAACCCCTGTTTCATACAAAAGACATCCACCTTGCGGGTGAATCTGACACTGGTGTAATCGCAGTGGGCACACAAAGGGAAGGTATCAACATTGTGTAAACAACCTGTCTAGCATCCATCTACTACACATGAACAGAAAAACAAGGAGAGACTGAGAGAGTGTGTGTGTGGGCAGGAATATAGATTACCTGTAACATGTTTTACTAACTGTAAAGTACAGCAACAGCAAGAAGAGCTAGGTATAAGCTGGAATGAATGGGGGATAGTAAGCTATTATCTTACATCCTGATGTGTATTCATGTGTATGTCTTATCTACATGCCTTGAGGGGGAGGTGAGGCTCTCTCTCTCTCTCTCTCTCTCCAGTAGCAGGTGTACAAGTGACAAACAGAGCCTCCTTGTTATTGGCAGAGCTGACATCCTATAGCCATGCCTGTGTAGTTTCTTGCCAGTCAGGGCTTAAAAAAACTGAAACTCAACTCTTTAAGTCCATTTACTCAGGCAAGGAGAGTGTGAAACCTCATTGTCACACCCCAAACTCCAACAGATTATGTCTATTGTCACTATGGATGTGTGATCACATTCAGACAAGGTTGGATAATATGTAAATGACACTGAATGAGCCCCATTCACCATCTGTCATCTCTGCAGAGGTGACACAGCCTATAGGCATTGCCTCAAAACTTCACTACAATATGAAGTAAGTGTCGCGTTCAAAGCAGAATAAAAGCACAAGAAGGAATAGAATAGATTTACCTCCACATAGGGCACCACTTTGCAGGTGAACTCGCCCAGCAGCCAGGACTTTGTCAGCTCGTGAAAAACCACCATGGGCAGGCAGAAGAAGATGAGCACAAAATCCCAGACTGCCAAGTTGGCCAGCAGTGAGTTGGAGATGCTCTTCATGTAGTAGTTCTGGCACACGATGCACAGGATGGCAATGTTGCCCGCTATCCCCACCAGGAAAATAACCCCGGAGACGCATGTGATCGCGTAAGCGCCGTAAGTCTCGCTTGTCACCGGGTAAAAGGGGTTCTTGATCTCGTCCCCGAAATCCTGCGAGCTGGGAGGGGTGATCGGCGTGGCGTCCCAGGGGTTCTCTTCCCTGAAAGTGAATAACTCGGTCCTCCTGGTGAAGAGGTCAAAGGGCAGGTCGGTGGAGGTGAGGGCCACCGGTTTGGGGATGGGTTCCCACGGCGACGCGTGAGTCTGAGCCAAGAGCACTGAGCTTTTGTTCAGCCGGTTTCTCCCCCTCTTGGACGCTTTCTTCTGCTCGTCTTTTGTGCCTCTCTTGTGCCTGTCGCCCTCCTCGGGACCCCCTCCTCCGTCTCCTCGGCCCATTGAAGAGAGCTTAGCCGCATTGTAGTATCCACCTGCTGGTGTCCCCGTACTACTAAAACCGCCATTCAACTTTATCCTCTTATTGTGGTGGCGCGTCGGGCCCCAGTGTGAGACAGCGTTGGGGTCCTCCATGGGTGTCACAGTCCTACTGAAGTCGCGCTTGTTGTGCCCAATTCGCCACGTTTCTTCTGCAATTACCCTTTTCCAGGGGTGAGAGGAGTTCCCTCTGATAACTGCCCGCTGCGCCGGCAGTTCCGCCGAGGACGCACCTGTGGCGTACCCCGGCGAGAGCGCACGGTCCCTGGGTTTGTTTTGATGACTCTCCCGGAGTGACCCATGAAAAGTCCTGGCAGAGTATGCGCTGGTGTCGCTGTCCTCTTTAGATCGCACTTCTCCATTATTTCTTAGAGATAATAATACATGTGCATGGGCAAATAACACAAATAACGTCCTAGGCGGCAGAATCTGCATGGTCAATTATTGAGCGCAGTTTTAATCCTCACAAGTGCATCCTCATACCTCTGTGGCAGCGCGGGGATACTCTTCCAGTGTTCAGTCAACACCCATGTTGGACACAGCACAAGAGGGGGAGCTCACGGTTTCAAGTGAACGGCTGCATTCATGATGCGAGCTCTGCAAACTAAGTTATATCCCAATGTCTTGTCGTGCACTATGCAGCAACCTCCAAATCGCCGCCTCCCTCCACGAGTCACTCCCGTTTCCAAAGTCTTGACATTACCGAGCAGGACAGCGAATCAGAGTCCGGATCCAGAGCGAAAGAGCCAAAGAGAGGGAGAGAGGGAAATGCTGCATATCCATGCACACAATCCGCACAGCATCCAGTTTCCAGCTGTGGGCAATAGCATCCAAAAAAAGAAGACTGTTTCTCTCCCTCTCTCTCTGTCAGTGCGTTAGTTTAGTGGGTTGGGTCGGCTGCCAGCAGCAGCAGCAGCAGCAGCGTCAATGCGGTGCAGCCCACTAGGTTGTGATGCACGGGAGAGAGAGAGAGAGAGGGAAAGAAGGAGGGGTGGAAATCGGTCTGTTTCTCGTCCCTTCTTCCTCTGCATCCAGTGTCTCACCTCCTCTGCTTGAAGACCGTGCGCTGGAAGAAAATGGACTCCCCTGGCGGCTAACCCCGATCTGTCACTCCTCATCCATCACGGAGCATCCAGCAGCCCCGGAGCAGACTACTGCTACAGCACCCCTCACACACACACACACCCACACACACACGCACCCACACACACACCCTCCCTCTGGCAGACAAGCCAGCCACGCCCGACAGACGTGCTAATAAATATATTAGCCAGCTTTTAATTTTTACGCACAGGCGGCGCTGTGATATCGACGCCCTCGGAGAACGTTTGAGCACAGGCTCTTTAATCCTAACCATTTTGTTTTAAAGCAAATATGAATAAGAGTGCCAGTGGGGGGGGGAGTTAGTTGCACTTGTTTCAAAAGAAGAGAGTTGTCTTGCCTAGTTCAAGTGACTGTATAAATGCGCTTATTTCCCCTCCAGTCCTATTTGTATTTGTGTTAATAAAACTAATATTTTCAGACTACGCATTAAGCCCAAGATGTAGGTTTATCATGGTATGTATGATTTTACTGCTGCAAAGTTACCACTAGAAATCTTAGGGCCCCCTGAAAACAACTCACCAACAGCTCTGAAAGATATATTTATAATCTCTGTCATGTCCCAGTGTCTCTGTCCAGCTATATGGGGCCCCCAAATCATTCATGTTCCACCCCTCAGTGTGCTCGGCTGCAAGCACAACCATATTTGAAAATTGTCTTCATCTGCCTTCTGGATTGATCTAACCTAACTGTAGGGGATAGCTGGACATTGATTGTGGCGTGTTCTACAGCTGCATGCATCAATAACTGCACCATATCTCCACAAAATTTGCTCTTTCACAAAAGGGCGCTTTAAAAGTTATTTAATTCACCAATCAAACAGCCATTTGACTATAACCTCAATGTTGTAGGCTTTATTAAGAGGCTATATGAAATACATCTGCAGACTTGCGGTGGTTTTCTGAAGTGCCATCAAGGTTGAACTTGTATAACAGAGAGGGAACATTCGTAGGTGGTGCTGAAGTATTATTGTAAAGTGAATTGTGACCCCTCGCTGTGATAATGTACTTTAACTAAACTTTGACTTCACTGCAATTATATATCCATCGTCTCAGTATATAACTGTAAAAAAAAAACTAGTTAGCAAGTGAGCATGGAAGTCGAAACAGCTAAGAGCTAAGAGTGATGGATAAATAAAAAAAACAACAGCTAAAAGTAGCTAATGGATTATTTGCGATGGCAGTGTTGTTAAGGGGTCTGCCAGTCCATCTGACTGGGCTGTGGGGCCCCCATGGTCCTGGGCTACCCTGTCCAGCTCTGTCCAAGTGGTTATTTTGAATATCAGGAATTTGGTGTTTATGGCATATTTTCTTTGAGATCCAGATGGGTCTTTGTGTAACAAAAGCTGTTCTAGCCTTTCCAATTCAAGCTTGAATGTCTGCCCCTCTCCCTCCATCTTGCACAACACTACCAAAGTAGATTTAGCTTCTAACAGCTTCTAGCTCTGCCCCTTCCATCTTCCATTCAGATGTGGGGGTGCGTCTGACTAAAAAGGTTGGGGACCACTGCAGAGTATTTAATCATTTGTGGCAGTTATTAAATACAACACACCGCGGGGCGGCACCACGAGCGAGCAACCAGCAACCCCTGTGACTAAGTACTGTATGTCGCAGTAGCTCAGTCACAAAATTCAAGAGACTCTCGGGAGTAAATGAAATGAGCACATTATGTCTCAAGTACTCTAAGTAGCCTACTATAAGTGGACGTTTCACACTGCTGGAGTCTCAGACACTAAACTAAGGAAAGCATAGAACACATTAGAATGTACAGACATGCACATAAATGAGACATTTTTTTTTAAATTGAAGTACAGTATGTGAATATGTAACGTACAAATATGCTGTGGTAATAAACACATACAAATACTTCTTACTTACTTACATATTTTCAGACATACCTTTCTGTGTATTTGTGAGTATGCAGGTACTGAGAGAGACAGAAGGCGAGTGAATTGGCAGACACGGCGGACATCTAGCTGGTGACCTTCTACATCAAATAGGTGATTGGAGCCAATTCCAACCAGGGAGGCGCACACACACGCACACACACACACACACACACACTGATTCCCACACAGCCAAGTTTCACTAGGGGGGAGCCTACTGAAGATAGATGACTCAAGTTGCTTCTGCCAATATCTTCATCCGACCTGGATTCGACTTAAAAGAAAGAAGTTCTACATTTAAAGTATTTTAAAGTGCCAGAGATGTATTGGATTCGATGCAAGTTTAATGATCCCTGCAGCAAAACTCAGTAAAATAATATACAGTATCGGAGCAATCGGGAGTCATGTGGTTTGCTCACAGACACACAGTAGCTGCTGAAAAAGGGAAAAGGATTTCTCATTTGCTTTTTACATCTTAACTTTTTGTGTCCAATGAGTCATGCATTGTTATATTTGAATTAATGGGAAACATTTGATTTTTCCCTTTGATATGAAAATCCTTTAAGTGTGAGCCAATCCTGGCAAAGCTAATCGCTCAGTAAGTGTTCAGCATCCATTGGGCTTCACAGGTTAAACCCTTCAAATTACACTGTGTCTCTGACCTTGAAAATACCACCACAGCAACTTACGGTACCGTTTTAATCATCTGGAAGGCACAGGGCAACACTTCACATGTAATTATCATGTCCATTGTGTGTGTGCGTGCGTGTGTGTGGTAGTGGGGGTCCATGGAGACTCTGCCAGTTGGCGTGTGGGTGGAGATAAAGAAGAGAGGTTCTCTCGCAGATGAACTCATGCATGGAAACACTCAACAGTTCAGACACAGAGGGACATCAAGGGCACACACCATGCGTGTACACACATGAAACACAAATAAGAGAGTGAGTGCACACATGCGCAGCAGCACACACACACACACACACACACTCTCTTACACGCACACACAGTGAAGAGGCTTGAGGTTAGTGGGGCATGCAGGCGGCAAGAAGAACATGCTCAGAACATGAAGATTTCATGGATTTCACTGCATATGTGCTGTGTGTAAAATAAATTATACACACACACACACACACAGATACACAAAAGATGGAAACCATTATGAATTGAGTGATATTCAGAGGCACCCTACAACTTGTGCATTCACACAGGCTAAACAAAACAGACAACAGACCCACAAACACAACAATGCATATAAAGGCCTCAGTGAATTATAGAAACATTCAGTTTAATTCAATTTGATTACAGTACAGGAAGTGCCCGTGGGAAACAGGTTTCATACTTTAAATTATTTACACCTCTACCTCTCTGTGGTCTTGTCCGTAAAAGTTAATTAAATCAACAGAAGTTCAGACATTTTATTCATCAACTAGCCTGTATTTTTATTTTCATTACATGAATAGGCTTCATGAGCTACACTGTAAAACCAGATAATTGAACTTAAAAAATTACTGGAACTGATTACATCAAATTTTTTAAGTAAAAATAACTAATTTTTGCAAGTCAAAAAAACATTCTTAATCAAGTAGCTTTAGTAATTGAAACTAGTAAAAATGACTTAATTTTTTAAAAAATGTATTTGTACTGTGAAAACGTAATCAGGAATGTTTCTGTAACTTACAAAACTAAGTTAGTGTCACAAATTATTAGTAAATAGCTGCTTAATCGAGAGTTTAACATAAAAAAAATAGTTTGCTTATCTGGTGTTACAGTGTATGAGTGGGAGGGTTAATAGTCTTTTACTGAATCTGCAATCAAAATATTTGATTGATTTTATAGCCATTAAGTCGTTTTTTCAGCATTTGACATCGCATGCATGTCAATGAGACATCTATATTTATGACTCTGCTGTAGTTCCACTTCTTTCTGTGCAATATTGATTTAATTTGCTGCAGGATTTGGTGAGGCTTTCACCAAACTGCTTATGATCCAACACAATGGGCTGTTGTTCTGAGAGCTTTTTCACCAAAGTCATTGTTATTCTTTAAGCTTCATCCCTTTATGATGAGTACCATTATCTTCCAATAGTGTCAGCACATATCCAGGAGGCTCTCAGTGATGATTCCTACCAGGCTGTAGGCATGATAAACATATGACTCAAAGTGGCTCAGCATATGCCAACATATAGTCCAATGCTGCCATCTGGTGCTATTTGAAGGAGTAGCAAGACCACAGGCAGCATCTATAAAGTGCTCTGAACTCCTCTGTATATGTTTTATTTATCATCATATGATCTTTATCCAATAACATGTTAGAAAAAGTTTAAACCTAGATGTTTGACACATCTAATAATGCACTTTTAATCTTCTTTTTTTCTAATAAACTGAAACTCTACTGTGCTTTGTACTTTATGACCTCCTCTCCTTTCTTGGTCTCAAAATGTCAATAATTTCCTGTCTTAGCCTTCCCATAATTCATTGTGTCTTCTTTTATCACTCCTCCTTTTGTCTTTTTACATTTTTTGTTTGTCTACACCTTTCTCTAATAGTCTCTTACTAGTTACAGGTATTTTGTCCCCTCTCCCCTGCACATACATTTTGGCAAGAGATCGTTGCCACTTTCCAAAATATCTGACAGTGATGTATTTTCTCTTTGTTATTGCCTTTCACCCTTGTGATTGCTCTCCTGTTGCCCCTCCGACTCATCCCTCCTGTCATTGAGAGCATGATTATTCTTCCATTAAAGGTGAAAAGGTGATCTTATTTAGCATTCAAAGTGTTATTTTTTAGAAAAGAGTGATGAGGCAGAGGGAGAGATGACTTTGAAAGTCCCTGAATCTCAGTCTTACAAAAAAGAAGAGAAAACATTTTGTTAAAACACCCAAAAGCTCACATCCACAGAGGCAGGTTAAGTG